CCCCACACCTTCTAGTTAAGACACCTAATGTCCCCCACACCTTCTAGTTGAGACACCTAATGTCCCCCACACCTTCAAGTTGAGACACCTAATGTCCCCCACACCTTCTAGTTGAGACACCTAATGTCCCCCACACCTTCTAGTTGAGACAAGTTATGTCCCCCACACCTTCTAGTTGAGACACCTAATGTCCCCCACACCTTCTAGTTGAGACACCTAATGCCCCCCCACACCTTCTAGTTGAGACACCTAATATCCCCCACACCTTCTAGTTGAGACACCTTATGTCCCCCACACCTTCTAGTTGAGACACCTAATGTCCCCCACACCTTCTAGTTAAGACAATGTCCCCCACACCTTCTAGTTGAGACACCTAATGTCCCCCACACCTTCTAGTTGAGACAATGTCCCCCACACCTTCTAGTTGAGACAATGTCCCCCACACCTTCTAGTTGAGACAATGTCCCCCACACCTTCTAGTTGAGACAATGTCCCCCACTTCTTCTAGTTAAGACACCTAATGTCCCCCACACCTTCTAGTTGAGACAATGTCCCCCACACCTTCTAGTTAAGACACCTAATGTCCCCCACACCTTCTAGTTGAGACACCTAATGTCCCCCACACCTTCAAGTTGAGACACCTAATGTCCCCCACACCTTCTAGTTGAGACACCTAATGTCCCCCACACCTTCTAGTTGAGACAACTTATGTCCCCCACACCTTCTAGTTGAGACACCTAATGTCCCCCACACCTTCTAGTTGAGACACCTAATGCCCCCCCCACACCTTCTAGTTGAGACACCTAATATCCCCCACACCTTCTAGTTGAGACAATGTCCCCCACACCTTCTAGTTGAGACACCTAATGTCCCCCACACCTTCTAGTTGAGACAATGTCCCCCACACCTTCTAGTTGAGACAATGTCCCCCACACCCTCTAGTTGAGACAATGTCCCCCACACCTTCTAGTTGAGACAATGTCCCCCACACCTTCTAGTTGAGACACCTAATGTCCCCCACACCTTCTAGTTGAGACAATGTCCCACACACCTTCTAGTTGAGACACCTAATGTCCCCCACACCTTCTAGTTGAGACAATGTCCCCCACACCTTCTAGTTGAGACAATGTCCCCCACACCTTCTAGTTGAGACAATGTCCCCCACACCTTCTAGTTGAGACACCTAATGTCCCCCACACCTTCTAGTTGAGACAATGTCCCCCACACCTTCTAGTTGAGACAGTCCCCCACACCTTCTTGTTGAAACAATGTCCCTCACACCTTCTAGTTAAGACACCTAATGTCCCCCACACTTTCTAGTTGAGACAATGTCCCCCACACCTTCTAGTTGAGACAATGTCCCCCACACCTAGTTGAGAGACAATGTCCCCCACACCTATTGGAGTGACAGGTGTATGACCAGCTGACACCAGCAAACCTGCACCAGACAATGGAAGCCTTCAAGCTGCGGGCATAATAAGAATACCCGGATGTGTTGATAGTTTTTAACATCCATTTAATCACGTTGTCATCACGTGACTGCACGCAGACGTACACCAGAAGAATGGCCCCAAAGAACATCAAAGAGAGCAGGCTCTACGGTTAGAATTTATATCTTTTATCTTCTCTCTCAACCCACCATCAAGTTTTGAATTTTCAATGCAAATATTCGCCCGCAGTTCAGAAAGATAACATCAGTTTTGAACATAACTGAACTACAAATAAAAGACAATAAATGTAGAAAAATGTAGTAAGAACACATACATCACAGAAGCGATCAGTCATGGATCCTATCATACAAAAGAGTCAATTCCTAGAAATATTTCATTATAAAAGCGATCAGTCCTACCATACAAAAGAGTCAATTCCTAGAACGATTTCATTATAAAAGCGATCATTCCTATCATACAAAAAAGTCAATTCCTAGAAAGATTTTATTATAAAAGCGATCATTCCTATCATACAAAAGAGTCAATTCCTAGAAAGATTTCATTATAAAAGCGATCATTCCTATCATACAAAAGAGTCAATTCCTAGAAAGATTTCATTATAAAAGCGATCAGTCCTACCATACAAAAGAGTTAATCCCTAGAACGATTTCATTATAAAAGCTATCATCCGTAAACCGCACTCAATGAAAACTTTCATTTGTGGAAATTTCTTGTTTTTTTATCATATCATAAAGTGTTTTGTGAAATATGAAAAGTATAAACGCAATATTAACTCGCACACGCTGTTGGGTAGCACATAGACCAGCGAATAACAAAAGAGGAAACAGGCGAATCAAATGAGCAGCACAGAAACAAAACCTGCATTAAGTTAAGCTGAGGATTATTAGCATTGGACTTCATCAAATAAACATATTCATACAGTAAAATAGGGATTACTAGAAGTATGTGAGATAGTAGAGTGGGGATTATCAGATTAATGTGTGATTATAGTGAATATAAGTCCCGAGTGACGTAAAATGTAAAAAAAGAAGTTAGCCTGTAGTGAAATAAAACATAAAGTTAATCAATTTATAAAATAATGTGTAAAAAAATCAAACAAATAAGACCATCTTTTTCCAAAACTTAATTTCTTATCAGCAGGCGACACACATTAAGAGAAGGGGAGGGGGGGGGACTGATGAAATGTGACAAGGGAAGATAATTTTACATTCCTAAATTCTGATCGATCAAGATGTGGGAGCTGTTAGCACCAGTTTACAACTGCAACAGTTACTTCACTAGTTCAGCAACTGCTTCAATAGTCCAACAGTTACTTCAATCGTCCAACAGTTACTTCACTAGTTCAGCAACTACTTCAATAGTCTAACAGTTACTTCACTAGTCCAACAGTTACTTCACTAGTTCAGCAACTACTTCATAAGTCCAACAGCTACTTCACTAGTTCAGCAACTACTTCAATAGTCCAATAATTACTTCAATAGTACAACAATTACTTCAATAGTCCAACAGTTACTTCAATAGTCCAACAGTTACTTCAATAGTCCAACAATTACTTCAATCGTCCTACAGTTACTTCATTAGAACAACAATCACTTCAATAGTAAAATAATTACTTCAATACTAGAACAATTACTTCACCATTCTAGCAACTACTTCACAAGTACAACAATTACTTCAATAGTACAACAATTACTTCAATAGTACAACAATTACTTCACAAGTACAACAATTACTTCAATAGTACAACAGTTACTTCAATAGTACAACAATTACTTCAATAGTACAACAGTTACTTCAATAGTACAACAATTACTTCACAAGTACAACAATTACTTCAATAGTACAACAGTTACTTCAATAGTACAACAATTACTTCAATAGTACAACAATTACTTCAATAGTACAACAATTACTTCAATAGTACAACAATTACTTCACAAGTACAACAATTACTTCAATAGTACAACAATTACTTCAATAGTACAACAGTTACTTCAATAGTACAACAATTACTTCAATAGTACAACAATTACTTCAATAGTACAACAATTACTTCAATAGTACAACAATTACTTCAATAGTACAACAATTACTTCACAAGTACAACAATTACTTCAATACTACAACAGTTACTTCAATAGTACAACAATTACTTCAATAGTACAACAATTACTTCAATAGTACAACAATTACTTCACAAGTACAACAATTACTTCAATACTACAACAGTTACTTCAATTCTACAACAGTTTAAAAACTACTTCACGTTTACAGCAATGTTTACACCGGTACAACAAAATGAACATAACGATAACACACATGACTCAAGCGTTACCTCCCGCTAACATATATTTACATGATCATATGGGGCATAACTCAGGCTGCAAAAACATTCTCAACGAATTTCCTTGTCAATAATATCGATAACGTCGTAAGAATTGTGGCGATCAGATTACATTGATTTTATTTTTATAATGTTTACTTATGTTAGTATGTGCAAATTCACAGATCTAAAGTGAAAACACTTTAGATAGCGCGGACTTATTACATTTGAGTTTCTCAACCAGATACCGAGTGTGATGCCATCTCGTAAATTAAACATCAGATGCATCACACATGTAAGCAAACGACAACTGCAGGGAAAGTTGAAAAGACAATAAAATATCAGAGCGACAATTCTTGGATGGACCTCATTTGATTTACCTTCCTTCACCTTTTCTTTCGATAAACTGTGCATTTTATTGACCAACTATTAGAACATTGCTCGACCAATTTGGTTAGGCTGAGGTGGGGGGGGGGGGGGGGGGTCAGTAGAGCCCAGTGTATGGGCTAAGTAGTTTGATCCAGGTTTTCTTTCAGATAATTTTCTCCTTGGGGGAGGTGGGGGTAGGGTTGCCAGATACCTTTTCCGAAAATACTGGACACCTTTCCATCCTTCCCTTCTCAGGTATGCCGCAAAGCAGAAGAAGGGGGGTAAAACATATACTTGTCCAGTATTTATATTTATTTTATCCTGGACAGTCTGCTCAAATACTGGACTGTCCAGTTCAAAACTGGACACCTGGCAACCCTAGGTGGGGGGTTCTTGAAACATGAGGGAGGCGCACTTAAAAATTACCGTGTGTTGTGAAGGGGGGGGGGGAGGTAGTGCTTATAGTATATATTCTCTATATAATTTATATTATTCCATTTTATCCATCGGGAGAGGGTGCCTGAAAGCAACTCCGGTTTGGTCTGGTCACTGGTCAGAGAAAGATGTGGTTAAGGTGAGCATAGTGGAAAAGTGTGAGACGCTAAATCTTTCTTACAGACCAGCTTTAGATAGAGTCACTTAGATATCTTCTTATTGTTATCCTATGGCTTTGGAATAAAATATTATGTAGATCTATGTTCTATGATCCCGTCAATTAAGTTAACTATAGCTAAAATGTTTATTAATATAGGCCCGCATTATATTTTTTAAAAATAAAGCTTACAATCGTTCACCTAAGCGAAATCTACAATTACTACTCACTAAAAAAAAACGCGTTAAACTGAAGTTTATCTTACCTTAAGCTTTAATGTTTAGAACTAGAAATCTTAGTTTCAATAGTGACATAATTAAAACACATATAAACAATAAATCCAAATAGTAACATCACAGTTTTGATATAAAAATTGCATCCATAGTAGCTTCCCTTTCCCATCACAAGTAAACGTTGATTCAATGACGAGTCAACCATCTGTTGCTAACAATTGCAATCAATTTAGACTTTCAAAGGGCGTCGCCGATTTTTTCACACACACATTCTTTAGCTGAGAACACCCATTGACATTATAATTTATACTGCGATCCACACCGTTGAAACCTGATGTTTCCCGGAGGAGACAGACTAGTATGGATAGGGCTGTGTCACAGTTTATCGTCAGATGGCCATACACACCACAGCACCGTGTGTTCAGCTAAAGCGGTTTTCTATGTGGCCATTTAACTATCGTTTTACTTAGTAACTAAAACTTAATTCACACTCTACAGAAGAGAATTGGGCGTGTGTATGTGTATGTGTGTGGGTGTTTAGGGGGAGGGGGAGTGAGGGAGTGGATGCAATAACAAGTGAGAATTTACGTTGGCTGTATTTCTCAACTTAAATGTGAATACACACGTGAGTCTATATATATATATATATATATATATATATATATATATATATATATATATATATATATATATATATATTTAGGCATATGTATATATGTATATATATATATATATATATATATATATATATACATATGCCTAAATATATATATATATATATATATATATATATATATATATATATATATATATATATATATATATATATATATATATATATATATACTAGATGCATACCCGTGCTACTGTGAATACATATGCATATTCATATACATACTCACATATTATATACATATAAAATACTATATATATAAATGAACTCAAAGTAACATTTGAACTAAGTATTCAATAAAAACTAATAACTCAGCATGTTTGCTTTACCTTCAATTTTTAACTAGATCCTAATTTTCTCAAGAGTCAACCAGTTAGTTATGACATCGGTAAATGCAGCGTTGTGTTATATAGGCCTTTGATATATGAGCAGCAGCAGTCTCACAGTTGAATATCGACCTGCATTGTTTACATTAGACATCTGTACAATACTTCATTATGATGATCAATAAGCTGACTGTGTCTTCCTCATGTGGAGTAGTGTACATTTGTTAAGCAACATTGTAGGGCATATGCCTTGCCTTTTACAATATCACAGGACATTGGCCACACGTTCTATAATATATATCACTGGGCATTGGCCATATGTTCACAAGTTATATATTATTACAGGGCATTGAGCATTTGTTCTATAATACCGCAGATCATTGGCCATATGTTATATAATATCACAGGGTATTGATCACATGTTCTATATCACTGGGCATTGACCATTGGTTGTATAATATCACAGGGCATTGACCTTTGGTTGTATAATATCACAGGGCATTGACCTTTGGTTGTATAATATCTAATGGCATTGACCACATGTTATATTATATCACTGGACATTGGCCACATAGTATATATATAGTATCACAGGGAGTGGGCCATTTGTTCTATAATACCACAAGGCACGTGTTATATAATATCACAGGGCATAAGCCACATGTTATATAATATCACAGGGCATTAGCCACATGTTATATAATATCACATGGTATTAGCCACGTGTTATATAATATCACAGGGCATTAGCCACGTGTTATATAATATCACAGGCAGAGTTTCTTCCAGACATCTCCCGAACGAAATTTATATACAGAAAATATATACTTTTAACAGTGTCCGCCCCCCCCCCCCCCCGAACGGAATGAAATTTATACAGAAAATATTTACTTTTAACAGTGTCCGCCCCCCCCCCCCCCGAAGAAAGTCTACCGTCCCCCGAAAATTTCAAGTGCCCCCCCCCCCCCCCCACCCGGAGAAAAAAGTCTGGAAAACACTGATCACAGGGCACTAGCCTCGTGTTATATAATATCATATCCATATGGCGGGTTTTACTTGACTGACATTTCCAACATGGCTGACACAATAACCACGTCGAAGCTTCTCTCGCTGTTCGCCCTTCTACGTCAGAATTCAAAGAAGTCTTAATGAAAGCCCAATGTAAATGTATTCAAATGACAAAGGTGTTACACGTTTAATCTTGAATACAATTTAAATATGTGTTAACGTCACTCATTATAGAACATGTTAACTAAACTGGTGTAGTAGGTTTTATTATAAGCTAGCTAGGCTTGATGTAGTAGGTTTTATTATAGGCTAGATAGGGTTGGTGTAGTAGGTTTTATTATAGGCTAGCTAAGGTTGGTGTAGTAGGTTATATTATAGGCTAGATAGGGTTGGTGTAGTAGGTTTTATTATAGGCTAGCTAGGGTTGGTGTAGTAGGTTATATTATAGTCTAGCTAGGGTTGGTGTAGTAGGTTATATTATAGGCTAGCTAAGGTTGGTGTAGTAGGTTATATTATAGGCTAGCTAGGGTTGGTGTAGTATGTTTTATTATAGTCTAGCTAGAGTTGGTGTAGTAGGTTATATTTTAGGCTAGATAGGGTTGGTGTAGTAGGTTATATTATAGGCTAGATAGGGTTGGTGTAGTAGGTTTTATTATAGGCTAGATAGGGTTGGTGTAGTAGGTTATATTATAGGCTAGATAGGGTTGGTGTAGTAGGTTATATTATAGTCTAGCTAGGGTTGGTGTAGGTTATATTTTAGGCTAGATAGGGTTGGTGTAGTAGGTTATATTATAGGCTAGATAGGGTTGGTGTAGTAGGTTATATTTTAGGCTAGATACGGTTGGTGTAGTAGGTTTTATTATAGGCTAGCTAAGGTCGGTGTAGTAGGTTATATTTTAGGCTAGATAGGGTTGGTGTAGTAGGTTTTATTATAGGCTAGCTAAGGTCGGTGTAGTAGGTTATACTTTAGGCTAGATAGGGTTGGTGTAGTAGGTTATATAGTAAGACGTTAGTTGGTGAGAAATATGTCGATATAAAATGTATTTTTAGTGAGATGTTTTTTGGTGTGAGATGTTTGTTGGAGTGAGATGTGTGTTGGAGTGAGATGTGTGTTGGAGTGAGATGTGTGTTGGAGTGAGATGTTTGTTGGTGTGAGATGTTTATTGGTGTGAGATGTTTGTTGGAGTGAGATGTGTGTTGGAGTGAGATGTGTGTTGGAGTGAGATGTGAGTTGGAGTGAGATGTGTGTTGGAGTGAGATGTGTGTTGGAGTGAGATGTTTGTTGGAGTGAAATGTTTGTTGGTGCGAGATGTTTGTTGGAGTTCGATGTGTTATTGGAGTGAGATGTGTGTTGGAGTGAGATGTGTGTTGGAGTGAGATGTGTGTTGGAGTGAGATGTGTGTTGGTGTGAAATATTTGTTGGAATGAGATGTGTGTTGGAGTGAGATGTGTGTTGGAGTGAGATGTGTATTGGAGTAAGATGTGTGTTGGAGTGAGATGTGTGTTGGTGTGAGATGTGTGTTGGTGTGAGATGTGTGTTGGAGTGAGATGTGTGTTGGAGTGAGATGTTTGTTGGTGTGAAATATTTGTTGGTGTGAGATGTGTGTTGGAGTGAGATGTGTGTTGGTGTGAGATGTGTGTTGGAGTGAGATGTGTGTTAGAGTGAGATGTTTGTTGGTGTGAAATATTTGTTGGTGTGAGATGTGTGTTGGAGTGAGATGTGTGTTGGTGTGAGATGTGTGTTGGTGTGAGATGTTTGTTGGAGTGAGATGTGTGTTGGAGTGAGATGTTTGTTGGTGTGAGATGTTTGTTGGAGTGAGATGTTTGTTGGAGTGAGATGTGTGTTGGAGTGAGATGTTTGTTGGTGTGAGATGTGTGTTGGTGTGAGATGTGTGTTGGAGTGAGATGTGTGTTGGTGTGAGATGATTGTTGGAGTGAGATGTTTGTTGGAGTGAGATGTGTGTTGGAGTGAGATGTGTGTTGGAGTGAGATGTGTGTTGGTGTGAGATGTGTGTTGGTGTGAGATGTGTGTTGGAGTGAGATGTGTGTTGGAGTGAGATGTGTGTTGGTGTGAAATATTTGTTGGTGTGAGATGTGTGTTGGAGTGAGATGTGTGTTGGAGTGAGATGTGTGTTGGTGTGAGATGTGTGTTGGAGTGAGATGTGTGTTGGAGTGAGATGTTTGTTGGTGTAAAATATTTGTTGGTGTGAGATGTGTGTTGGAGTGAGATGTGTGTTGGTGTGAGATGTTTTTTGGAGTGAGATGTGTGTTGGAGTGAGATGTGTGTTGGAGTGAGATGTGTGTTGGTGTGAGATGTTTGTTGGAGTGAGATGTGTGTTGGAGTGAGATGTTTGTTGGAGTGAGATGTGTGTTGGAGTGAGATGTGTGTTGGTGTGAGATGTTTGTTGGAGTGAGATGTGTGTTGGAGTGAGATGTGTGTTGGAGTGAGATGTTTGTTGGAGTGAAATATTTGTTGGTGTGAGATGTTTGTTGGAGTGAGATGTGTGTTGGAGTGAGATGTGTGTTGGTGTGAGATGTGTGTTGGCGTGAGATGTGTGTTGGAGTGAGATGTTTGTTGGAGTGAGATGTGTGTTGGAGTGAGATGTGTGTTGGAGTGAGATGTGTGTTGGCGTGAGATGTGTGTTGGAGTGAGATGTGTGTTGGCGTGAGATGTGTGTTGGAGTGAGATGTTTGTTGGAGTGAGATGTGTGTTGGAGTGAGATGTTTGTTGGAGTGAGATGTGTGTTGGAGTGAGATGTGTGTTGGAGTGAGATGTTTGTTGGTGTGAAATGTTTGTGTGAGATGTGTGTTGGTGTGAGATGTTTGTGTGAGATGTTTGTTGGAGTGAGATGTTTGTTGGTGTGAGATATTTGTGTGAGATGTTTGTTGGTGTGAGATGTTTGAGATTGTTCTGTAACATGTTTGTGTAACATATTCGAATGTTTGACAAGTTGTTGGTGAAGTGGACCTCGGGTTTTACTGAAGTGAAGACTTAACAGATCACAGCCCGTTGTTTTTGTGTGGTTACTACATTAGTTTCAGATGGAGCAATTCGTCTTTTCATCTACCAACTAATTTGCTCACAAGATTCATAGCAAAATTTTGTTCTTCTTTAAGTGCATACAGATCTTGTTTTAGAATATCTCCTCTCTTTCTCATACCTGACTACGAACTACAACACAGGATACATGAGTAACATTTAAATGGAATGAGTTCAACTGTGTACCTAGTGTAATCACCATTATGGTGGGTTGGGTTGTCGTCGACCTACTGGTAGAGATTTATTTCAGTGGCGTAGATAGGGGAGGGCGGGTGGGGCGGCCACCGACCCTAAGAGGGCGCAAAAGAAAAAAGGGTATAAAAAATAATTAGAAAGCCGGGGTATTGAACTATACACAAAGTTACGAACGCAAACTGTTCCATGGCTCTACACACTAATGTCTATATCAATTGTGTGACACCACAATAGAAACCTTTATGGATAGTGACTGGTTTAAAGTGCCACCAACCTTACCAACTGGGGGAGGGGCGGTTTCACCAACTTAAGTAATATATTTGTTAATGAGCTGGAGGGGGCGCAAAATGGATTGTTCACCCTGGGCGCCGGAATGGGTCACTACGCCTCTGATCTATTTAGGTACATTGTGTCGTCAGATTTAAAAGAATTTGTTTTACTATTTAAATGAATGCACTCCAACACACGTAGCCTAAAGATGATAGAGTCAGCAACATTTCTTGTTTAATTTCAAGGACAAACTAGCCCATACAGGAGTAAGACATCATGGCTAGTGAAAAAGTAAACTGATACATACAAGGACCACCACAGACATTGCCTGAATACTGTCTAATTTTGATGTAGACCAAATTGAGCTGCCTGAATTTGACATGCAGCACCTCAATAGTTCCTAGCTACCCAACTGGGATCTACAGATACTGTCAATAGTTCCTAGCTACCCAACTGCGATCTACAGATACTGTCAATAGTTCCTAGCTACCCAACTGGGATCTACAGATACTGTCAATAGTTCCTAGCTACCCAACTGGGATCTACAGATACTGTCAATAGTTCCTAGCTACCCAACTGGGATCTACAGATACTGTCAATAGTTCCTAGCTACCCAACTGGGATCTACAGATACTGTCAATAGTTCCTAGCTACCCAACTGGGATCTACAGATACTGTCAATAGTTCCTAGCTACCCAACTGGGATCTACAGATACTGTCAATAGTTCCTAGCTACCCAACTGGGATCTACAGATACTGTCAATAGTTCCTAGCTACCCAACTGCGATCTACAGGACTTCTAGTTTAAAAAATCAAACAACACCCCATGTGTGTAACATACCACATTCATAATTTGATAACATGAGACAAGCATTAAGGTTTACAGTTAATTTATTATTAGATTAACCTTACTATTTACAGACAGCGTTGTGATTTTTTTCTAGCCTCATCACCAGTCTAAAAAGCTCATCACAAACACAAGTCAGCATCATAGCTGACTACAAACTGAAACACATGTCTAGGTGTATACATCCAGGTCTCTGTGTAGCCTTCTCTCATTCAGTCCTTGACTAGACAGAGCTGTTAGGTGTATACATCCAGGTCTCTGTGTAGCCTTCTCTCATTCAGTCCTTGACTAGACAGAGCAGTTAGGTGTATACATCCAGGTCTCTGTGTAGCCTTCTCTCATTCAGTCCTTGACTAGACAGAGCAGTTAGGTGTATACATCCAGGTCTCTGTGTAGCCTCCTGAGCTTCTCCTTCTTGTTTCTGTTGTTGTGTTTCTTCCATGGCTTGCTGCTGGCCGTAGAGATGGACGTCTGACTTCCCATGGGTGACTCCAAGCTCTCAGTGCTCACCTCAGACGTCTGTTTCAACGTGTCAGAACGCACAAAGTCCTTCACACCACCGACACCTTTTGAATGGATTCGACTTTTTTTCTGGGGGGGCGGGGGAGAATTCAAAGTTATTTTATTAAGTATATTATTAAACCACCATAAATGAGAAAAATGTCTCAAGCATTCAGCATGAACAGCTGCAAACAGAAAGAATGTTGGTGCACTTACCTTTTCAAAAAACTCCTTGTCTACATCACTTTGAATGTGTTTCACTGGCTGAAGCAAAACATTTGTAAATACTTCATTAATTTTACATTTTAAAGAAAATAACTAACGTTGTAAGACAATCAAGCGAAATGAAAATAAAAGTTTGATAAAGTAACTTACAAAACTAATAAGGTACCCATGGAGTAAGCAAAACCAATATAATCCAAAATTTAAAATCCTAACCTCGAGTAACCTTTATTTTATTAGGCCTTTATTCACACACTTATCAAAAACCTAAAATGGTGCTTTAGAACATTTCTATGACTAAGTTATCTTTTATAATGATAAAAGCACCATCAGAAGATAAGACAACGAACCAATTTATGGGACTGGAGCTCTTCCAGTTTTGTTATTCTCTCCTGGTCTTGAAACTCAGCCCCTGCTATACCAGGTGGGGGTTCACAGTACAAGAGTTTACCCTGGAAATATTTCAAACTATTAACAAAATCACATACATATAGCCAAGTCCAAAACAGCAGCCTACACTAGACTGGTACATAGAAAACAAATGTAGCAGAAGCCTACCTTAACATAATCTTTTAGAATATATCTGGAAGCTCTGGGACCATCTGGTGTACCTCTGGCTGTCATAAAACCTCGCATTGCTACAGTCAATAGAAGAATATCAAGATTTTTTTAACAAATAAAAGCATTGTGAATGTTACTACATTACAACATAACTATGTGGATACGTCTAGCGAATTGTAGTTTATTTCCCCACCTCCATAAGAATTAAGCAGCTCTTCAGCTGTAGGGTTTCTATTGGGGCTGATGTCGTCTAATGAAGGTCTAGGGATCATGATGCTGTATGTGGCTTCTAGAACATTCCGAGGTATACGATCACAGAGGTGGCAACAAGTTAAGATTAAATATTGTAAATGTATGGGGTAATTGTAAACTTAAACTTGCAAGTAACATCAGATAATCAATCACATAGTGGCCTTTTAGATAATAAAATGGTGGCCTTTCAAATCATTTAAATAGTCTTATAAAAATCTGTGTGAGCTAATGCCAAATAATGGGTTCAAACAATAACACAACTTGTACAATGTCCTGCAGCAAGTTGTAACAAAAGGATATCAGGGCCACTGGAGAGACATGATCTCTCAACTCATCAATAGGCAGGATGCCATTGATGACCAGGTGAGCTTTAGTTGCTACAAAGGAAGGAAACACAAGCCCTGGGCAGTCACACAGTATCAGATGTTCATCTACATACAATGTCTGAAACACATAAGTTATTGCATCATACAGTATCAGATGTTCATCTACATACAATGTCTGAAACACATAAGTTATTGCATCATACAGTATCAGATGTTCATCTACGTACAATGTCTGAAACACATAAGTTATTGCATCACACAGTATCAGATGTTCATCTACGTACAATGTCTGAAACATAAGTTATTGCATCACACAGTATCAGATGTTCATCTACGTACAATGTCTGAAACACATAAGTTATTGCATCACACAGTATCAGATGTTCATCTACCTACAATGTCTGAAACACATAAGTTATTGCATTACACAGTATCAGATGTTCATCTACGTACAATGTCTGAAACACATAAGTTATTGCATTACACAGTATCAGATGTTCATCTATAATATCTGAAATACAAACATTACATTAAACAGTATCAAATGTTAATCTAAATACAATGTCTTTGATATAGCGATGCACTAAAAAGGAGAAAATAAATTATTTTCTTTAAAGGTATAATAATGCACTATTTAAATAACTATAAAGAAATGGTTTTTAAACACTACTACTCTTAGGTGAGCACTGAGAGCTTGGAGTCAAAATTAAGTCGATACAGAGTATTAATTGCGGTCTATATATAAAATATTAAGACAGATAAGTGAAGCCAAATGTTTGTTACCTGTAGATGTTTAGTTTTTCCAGGTGTAGCTGATACACCCAGCCTCTTCTCCTCAAGAATCACATTAATGGTTGAGCTCTTGCCAACGTTGGGGTAGCCCACCATGCCTATAGTTTTTACACTGCTGGATCTGGCTTCAGACGAAGACTGGGCAAGTCTACGGAAGATCTCCAGCAATTCTTGAGCTGACATAATATCAGGTTTGTTGACAATGTGCAACCTGGCATCACCTGAAGATTCTTCACTTGTTTCTTGATGTGTTATCTGGCAGGCAGGAAGTGGAGGCTCAGGGGAGAGAGTCAAGTCTTTCACAGCGCCTGCCACTTTCTCACAGGGTGACTGTCCTGCCACTTTCTCACAGTGTGACTGTTCTGCCACTTTCTCACAGGGTGACTGTTCACCATCAGTGCCCTCCTCTACTTGTGATGACTGGTGGCTTTCTGTTAGACTAGTTTCTTCACTGTCATCATCACAATCATCATCACTGTCACTTTCCTCATCATCATCCATCTCATCATCTGACTGCAGTTCCTGACTTGATGTTCCCTAAAGTAGAACAAAATATATAAGTTGTTTGTTTCCAGATAAATGTAAACAGTAAACTTTGAATTTAAAATTACTCCTCATGTACTATTGACTTGAATATAACTAACCATTAGATTTTAAGAGTCATTCCAATCCAGTACAAACAAAAATAATTATTTTCCTAAAAACAAAAACCTGTCATCTGCTCTAAAGTAAGGCAATTTAAAGCAAGCATCATATTACTGACCTCTTTCATAGCTTTCTCTACTTTGGCAGAGAAGAAAACAGCATTGATTCCTGCTTTATTGAAATAATTTACCCAAGACTGTCTGAAAAACATTTACAGATTGATGAACTCCATTAATAACAATTTAAAACTGTACCAAAGTAATATAGTAGTTAAATTGTAGCAAAGCTATAAAGGAACTGGTGATCTCAATAACAATACACTAACCTTTGAACTTCAGTAAGGAAATCTGCTTTGTTGACTAAAAGCAAAACTTTTTTGGTTGGGTCGACTTCTTGAACATAAACATCAAGATCTTCACAGCGAAAAAGCAAAGGGTTTCTGGCATCAACTATCTGAACTATGACATCACTGAAACAACAATCACATTTGAGATATTACTTTTGTATTTTTAACAAAACTAAGTTACAAATTGAATAATATTATCTTCTATTTGTCAACTTAAGGATAATTTAAAAGGATCTTTAAAATGTTGACCTTCTTTCAATAACTCTCCACAGCTGTCTCCAAAAGTCAAGGTTCTTCTCATACGGTGTAAGCTGAATGTGCTCTTTTTCTTCCAGCCTACATGACCAAACAAGACAATCAAGAACACAGGATCAAACAAACACGCCTCCAATTAGTTTCAATTAATAAGGTACACATCCAACCATCTACTCTACAGAAAGTATATTTAAACACAATGCACAAACAAGCCCGTCAACATTTTCAAAATTTTGTGGGATTGCTGCAAAGCTTTTGACTTCCTTTACTGACCCATTTGTACTAACTTATAATTGGGAAAAGAATAATTTTGATGAAAATGAATAAAGTAGTGATTATATTATTTCATTTAATAAAAAATAACTTGAGTAGCAGAAATGTGAGTATTTCTTAAGATGAGAAATGCTAATAATTGTAGTGCTCTGTTTAGCTACATCAATGGTGATGAAGTGAGTTTGTTGTCAGTGTGTTATTAATGAATTTACTTTTGTTCAACTAAATGCAATATATACTTTATTTATATTTTATGAAATGTGTTATTTGACTTTAATTTAAAAAAATATAAGTTTGTTGGTGGTGAAAATTGTATTTATTGTGAATTTTTTAAATGACTCATCCTATATTTAGTATGAAATGTGTGTGGCCAGGAGCTAAAAGGTTAAATTATGTTTTTTCTTCCTACTAAAATGATTATTGGTAATAAGGATAATTTTCATGCTTTTATAAATAAAGAGTAATTATAATAGCAGCATTGTCATACAATATAATAATTGCACCATTGTTAAACAACATAATTGCACCAGATTATTATGTAACACAACAAACTCACAACTTGAGTTGTCTCCTCCAATCTGTGAAAGACTCTCTCTCCAGAAGAGCTAACTGTTCTTTAGTTGTTGTTTCATCCCACTTGGGCCTGGTAAAAACACAGGAATAACATTTTTTAAAAAGCAGATCAAATTATCTGAACAGATTATTTTCTCTGTATTAAACATTGACAGCCAACAATCTTTTATTTATTAATCAGATCCCAACAATAAAAGAATTGGAATTTAACAGCATTCTGTGGTGTGAAATGTTGTAGTAATCTAAAGGCCTAATGATGAATTGAGTAAACAAACCTTCTGGGAATTTGCAGCATTGCTCTATGAGTGTCCTGTGCCTGGGATATCAACTGTAAATCAGATTCAGTTAGCTTTATACCTTGACCAGGGTTGGAGATTATCTGGATATTCTGTCTTTCTATAAATATCAATAAAACAGTATCCTGTTAGTTTTATAATCCTAATGAAGAAAACAGCAATCTAGGGAGGAGAAAAAGTTGTTCAATCACTGGTTAAATGAATCTAAAAATGTACACTAAACACCAAATATACTACAGTCTGTATCATAACACCTGCTGTGAAATCTTTTCCTGCCATTTCAGCTGTAGTAAGAAAGTCCTCTAAGTTGTTTTGTTCTGTTACAGACTGAAAGTTAATTCTGTTGTAGCCTGCGCCATCGTCCAGTTCTGTTGTGTGAAGCTGCAAAAATGTTGAAATACAAATCTATTTTATGATTATCAAGACAAGCTACAGTCACATACAAATGCCAGATGATATAAGAGAAACCAGCACAATTAAAAGTAATTTTAAAAAATTCTTATGCTTTCTAAAAATAACAACTTACAAATGAGTCATTTCCTGTTGGCCTACGACCTAGCTTTTTATTTTTATCCTTAACCAGTAAGCTCTGGCCCATTTTAGATATTTGACCTTTGCGACGGCCCATCTTGATCTTTGTTCAATAACTTATGGGCCTAGTTGTATCTTAAAAAATAAGATAAACATTGTGTTATAAGAAAACATTAGGAAGCTGAAAGATAAAGACATAAATCATGGACAAACAGAAGTGAAAAGTTCTAATTCCTTTTTGATGCTGTTGAGTGTTAGTGGTAATTTGTCTTTTGCCTGAAAAATTATTTTACATGCTTATAATCCGACCCTGTGTCATTTTATTAAAACAAAATAGGCTCTTATCATTTTAAGCCGATACTGTTTAGCATATTCGGTGAATGTGCTACCTTACACTCTCCCCAGATTTCATATTTTTTCCAAGACAACTTAAAAAGCAGTTATTTATTGTTACTGTGTGTCAGGCTAATGATACTTTACAATATTAAAGTAATATTTTTGCAGGCCTAGAAGGCCTTTTCAGTTCTGAATTTAATGATTACATTTATGGGAAATTTTCCCCACACCAAGCCGAATAATCAAACAGTTGGGTAAATGCCAGTCAAATATGTTTCACATTTTACCAAGCCCGCTTAGCCCCCCTATCTAACTAAATCTAGAGATAAAGATGTCTATAAAACTAAAACAATATCTAATATTTTCTAATAGACTGTTTTGAGCAGATATTAACCTAACTAGTATATAATATAGAGCCATTATATTAGAGGCCTATAATAATGGCTTACTAACAGTGTAAAAATTGTCATATTCTTTAGTTTAAATTAAAGTTTAATTTAATAATTAATAATTATTTGTAAGAACCTACTAAAACTAAAACATAAACTCAGTACACTGTTGTCTGTGACTGTCCTGACTCCGAAGCCTAATACTCATAGTCTTCCTCTTTTAATATCAGAGTTACTGAGAGTAGTCCTAAACAGAACTTCGTTTAGTAAACTCAGTTTAGTTGAGTTTAGGTCAGGACCAACAGTTGTGGATATTTAGCCAACTTATTAGTATTACAGTTTTGAAGTTACTTAGCGAATCGCAGAGCGTTCTGAGTAATATTTGAATTTCTTAGGACGCATTCTAAAACTTTGGGATTTGCCATCTTCTGATTAAAAAAGCTTAATATTTCATTTGCTGGCACATCTGGTGTGGTAGAATCAACGGTGTGGTACTTACATTCATAGCCCCGGAGATTCGAGTTCGAACCCGGCTTAGCACAACCAGTATACAGTGTCTTCTGGCAATTTATTTTTTCATATTGAAAAAGTCAAGTGTAAATTAAAAATTTTTTTTTTATTCTTTATAAAATTTTGTAACTTCATCACTTGTGTGATTGCCTGCTTACATTTTTTAGCCCACAGGTGAAAAATCCAATTAAATATTATAAATAACTGAATAATAAACCAAAATCAATGGCTAAATATATCAATAGAGGCCAGAAATTACAGGATTGTTTGCGAGCAACATTTGCTATCTAAACAGCTGCCATCTGTAAGTTAGAGTGGTTTCCCCTGAATGTCTTACTATTACTATAAGTGTACGAAAAAAAAAAAAAAAACTTAAACAAGATATCTGCTAAAGTAAATAAGCTTGGTTGCATCTGATGAAAATAATGATATAGCCTCGGTTATTTATTCCGGATTTGTACAGCAGTAAAAAACAGTAAAACCATGGCGTAGTCTGTCGAGCCTTTATGGAAACCACCGGAAATAAATCATCATTTATTTGCCACCATATTATTTTTAATACATAGGCCTAATGTTTTAAAATGTGCATGGATTAATTTTAGTTGCATTTTAAATACCTTACTGTTTTGCTAATTAATACTAATTATTTTAAGTGTAGGCCTATGTGCTAATTATTGCTGCAACTCAACATTGTTCTAGTTCTTCTTACTACTTTTAACTTTAGTAAATCTAATCGTCTTATTTTACTAAATCTAGATTCAAGATCTAGTTGTCGCAAATCTTCATTCTTTTTACTGTGTTTCTTTAGCTAATAAAAAATAAACAAGCATTGATTATTACACTCGACTTTATTAATAATATTTTTATTTAGGCCTAGATTTAGGCTACTAATTATTGCTTATTTTCTGTCAATTAGGCCTAAACATTAAATTAAATCATTAATTTAATGCACTTGACTCTATTTTTATTTTATCGGTCAAATAAACTATAGTTTACAGTAACGAATGTTACCGAAACTCAACAAACATTACCAGATAATTTCTGACGCTATATTTTATATTAGGAGATTAGCCCTACCCAATTATCTAGATCTATAATATTTGACACAAATATATCACAATATAATTCTATAAAATAAAGCCCTAACAATGAGGCAACTTTTTCGCACATTACTAGCCTCGGCCGATTTTACGCACCTAAAATCCTAAAAGATCCGAGTCCGACAGAGGTAAAACTCCATTTTAGCGTATTTTATTCCCCGCTTCACGTTCACCTCCAGTTGAGCATATTTTATTATAAACACAACCAAAACACACGAAAACGTTAGGAAAACATTAGGCTTATTAATATATTTCTTTATGAATTTTTGTTTTCATATTTGATAATTTACTGTTGTCAAAACTTTAGAAAAATCCAAATTTGGAATATTGAATGTGCTATGACTATGCATGTATGTTTGTGACGTATGCTGATAATTAAAGTCAATGTACTCATGGTGAACCCTCGACTGTGTAGGGATTTTTTTTCACGCTGTTCAATTTGAACTGTCCCAATGCTTTTTTATGTTGTTTTTTGGATGCATCTATTCGGACCCGGGTCCAATAGCCACGGCTGCTATTGGGACCTGGGTCCTAATAGCCTCGGCCGCTATTGGGACCAGCCAATAGAATTGTTAAGATTTAGTTATACAAAAATTCTTTTAAGATGCAGAATATATCTTTTCTGTTGTGATTTTTTTCCTTGTAATTCTAAATGATAGATTGAGATCTTGCTTTAAATACCCGATATCATTACTGACAAATGTTATGATGAGCGGGTGTCGTTAGGTCTATAATATAATTATGGCCTATAGTACGAGCTTCTATGGCCGAGCGAATGTTGAGCGGGCATGTTAAATGTGTTTTATTTATTTTTTCTTCTGTTAAATTTGATTTCATAGGTCTATCCTTCCATATATATATATATATATATATATATATATATATATATATATCTATATCTATATATATATATATATATATACACACATACATATATATAAAATTGTATAAAATAGCTCTGTAGGCTGCAGACTACAGCTCCCGGGCCCGTTTTCTTCAACACGAATATATCGCATGCATTGTAGTATGCTTTAATAGAAGCAATATGTAACATTTGAACGCACAATGACCCCAAATCCGTTTTTCCCGCTTGCTGGGTTGAGGGGGGGGGGGGGGGGAAACTGCGATGACGACAAATCTCGACCAGCTCATAGCAATGGTCTTGCTATGACGTATGCTAAACGCTTACACTGTTCACATCTAAACCAAAGTGAACTCACGGTGACCCTGGCTACACCGTGTCGGTATTTTTCTTGCGCTGATCAGAAAACGCGAGAGGGCGATCGATGGAGCTACGATGTTTTTATAATTGGCGTGTTTAAAAACCAAAATCTAGAAAAAAATATATTATCTATTTAAAAAAAAAACAATTAAAAAAAGACACTTATGCAAACAACTCAATGAAATGTTAAACTTAGATAAATACACTTTACTTCACGCAAAAACTAGAGCTTTGATAGGTTCTGATCCTGTAACTGATCGAGAATCGGGAGGTACTGCATTCTCCACTCGACCACGACATCTTACGATAATTACTAAATATTTAATGATTTTGTATAGGCCCCTATACAGCTAAATATAGGGTATTTAGAAATAGCAACACAAGAACTAACGCTAGCTAATCTGCATAACTAATTTAGCAATGGACACCAGCGAGTTGACGAGATTCCTTCTGTAATGTTGTTGACATGGAATAAAAATGTGCTTTTTTAGATGTAGGACCATAAAAATAATAAATGATAAAATTTTATTAAAAACTTAAGCCTAAAATTAATTCAGAAATGTAATATTTTTAGAATCAATGCTATAAAAGTTGCAGATCCAGAGAACTTGAAAATAATTTGTTGAGTTTAAGGCTACATTTCTATTTATTTTCATCAAGCCTAAGTTATAACCTGATGTTTCACTTTCGTAAGACAAACATTGATTGGCTGTAAAGGAACTCCGTGATCGATTTCTGACAGCCCCACTTCATAGTTATTTTGTTTACAAAACTTTGCAGATTAAGTTTTTAAATAACTATGCAAATTTAAACACCATGACCTATTTTTTCTATTTTTAGCTTACAATGTGTACAATAAAATTTATAGCGGCCATTGTTTATGTCGCCATTACACGTGAAAACCTAATTGTTTTTGCTTTTTTATAAATTTTTATTTAGTTACCGAAAATATTAAAAACATCAAATACATCCAATCTTTAGTAAAGTCCGAAAAAAACCAGACAGACAGGATTTTATAACCATTTTAATTGTAACTACGCCGTGCAAGATTTTTAAATTAATTTATGCACCTCTCAAATACCTTTGAGACATTTCTTGCTGGTGTCCATTACAATATCATTACATTAAAAGACAACACAATACAAGAAAAGCCACATGAAGAATCAAATAAACATAAAAGGTATAATATAATTTTAATACAGGTTGTACAAGTGCTTAACGAACTTAATGCCGGGTCCCAATAGCGGCCGAGGCTATTAGGACCCGGGTCCGAATAGCCACTTCCTAGGTTTTTTTTACCTTTTCTAATTAAAACTCATATTCATTATTCATAAAAAAAAAGTAGGTGTGTGCTTTGGTTGTGTTGATAATAAAATACGCTCAACCAGAGGTGAATGTGAAGCGGCGAATAAAATACGCTAAAATGGAGTTTTACCTCCGACAGATTGAGATTACCGACTAAAAAACTAAAGTCTTTTTTACATTTTTAGCCGACCTTTGACTAACTAAAGTTACTAAACTAAAAACATTAGGCCTAAAAATTATATTTTTCTAGGATCAATTACTTTTGGTTCGTGTATACAACACGACACACTTATATCTCTAAAATCTATAAGCTACTATAGATTAGATTTAGGGTGTATTAATTTTTAACACGATAACACGCCAGTGAGGTTGGTTTGTAAACAAACCATCGTCCAGCACATGCACAAAACCGGGAGATCTAATTACCAATACTATTGTTAGTTATTAAAAAATTACCGAGATACAATGAGAGGTCTCTATATTTATTCAAATTGTAACATATTCATTATTTCATTAATAATATAACTATTGTAATAAATAAGCTATTAATAATATGAAATGGGATTGAGGGTGCTTTATCATTGCACAATGAATTTTACATTTTACAAAGTTTATTTTTTTAATTACAAATATTACAAAATAGGGCTTTCCAACTGTTTCAAATAAAGATACAACAAATTTCTTTCTCCAAAATAATTTTTTTAAAAGTGTTCACAATATGCTTAGTGGCTTAGCATAATGTGTCTTGTTTTCGCATGATGGTACAGTAAACTACATTGCATTTGATTTTCTTATTAAACTTATTAACTGTAATCTTAAAAATAAATTTTAACTATTTAGAAAAATTGAATGAAAAAACATACAAAAGGGGACTACACAAAAACATGATTTCTCTTAAAATGGTTTTAAAGCTTTATTATGGCTTCTGATAGAATGTAATTGGATGTAACAAACAATTTTGTCTAAATAATTTGGACTTCTAATAGTTAAAAAAAATTACCTTCTTTGTACCATTTAATGATTAGGTTGTGGTTTGCTGGACAGGTGTTGCAATGAAAATGTCTCACTCAACACACCCTATATTGGCCTAATGGTGGCTAAATGTAGGCAGAGTTTCTTCCAGGCATCTCTTCGGGGGGGCTTTGCCCCCCCCCCCCCCCCCCGAAAATTTTTTACCGCCCCCACGAACGAAATGAAATTTATATAATTTATATAGAAAATATATGCTTTTAACAGTGTCCGCCCCCCCGAAGAAAGTTTACCGCCCCCCCGAAGATTTCAAGTGCCCCCCCCCCCGGAGAAAAAAGTCTGGAAGAAACACTGAATGTAGGTTACCAATATTGACCACATCCTGGCACAACCTTGTTATAACATCATATTTTATTTGTCCTTTTTTTTGTTATATATTTACATGATCCCACTAAACCTAATGTACTTGGCATAGTTATTTTAATATATATATATATATATATATATATATATATATATATATATATATATATATATATATATATGTATACATATTAGCAAAATTTAACATACATATTTATTAGGCTGAATAAAAATTTGTAGAAAATTATAAAGATCTGTTTACCGTTTTCATTGGATGACCTTTAGAACAATTATGCTGCTGAATTTTTTTTTTTTTGGGAAACTTTCATTGTTGTTTTTTCTCCACTTAGAAAATTATAAATTACAATAAATACAATAAACTCATTGCTTTTCAGAGTTTATTTCTTTCAAAAGCCAATATTGTTATGTAGCACTTTTGGGGCTAGGTTAAGAATAGTTAAAAACCCACTGTGATAGTGATATAATAATTTATTTTAGGAATAGGGCACACATTCAACCAACCATTTATCTCTCAATATCAATTAAAATTTGTTTTTCTGGTTGCTGATATTTATTTTCTCAGTAATTATATTTCCTTACTGATAATTATTGTACAGACCTGTCTGAGTTGTTTGTTGTATTCTTGTGCAATTTGTATTATTAGCTTTCTGATAAAATTGTCTAAATATGACTTCCATGGTTTCTTTTTTAGTTGATCATTAGCAAAAGAAAACTATTTTGTAAAAAAAAACCAGACAATGTGTTACATCTGATTCCACAAAGAGCTTTGTGCTTAGGCCTACTGTAGTATTTGACAAGAGTGGAAGAAACATGCATATAATAGATCCCATCAAAAGTTAAAACAAACAATTCATGTGGAAATATATAAAAAGTATTCTTTTATTTTTAAAAAGTTGTTCTTCCTTGTTTAGTATGACATGATAGTTGAAGGGTACACATATTAATTTTTCTAGATCTTAAGGCATTTTATGTATCTAAACACTTTAATACTCAAAACATTATTATATGTTCTTCATTTATAAAATTTCATGACAAGTAATGAACCAGTACATTTAACCCAGATTTAAATTAACTTCTGTAACTGTTGTCACATATTAAAAATTTAATCAAGAGATTGACAAAGGAAAGTTAACACAATAAATTATTTACAACATGACACAGAAACAATGATTACAAATTAAAATATGGAATTGATAAGGAGTAATGTTGTCATTTTTACAAAGCAATAATATTAATAACTTTTTAGTTATGTAAATAATGATTTATTAAGATTAGGTATAAAAAGTTAGTCAATTTTTCCCTCATATAATTGTTGAGATAGAATTTAAAAAGTTAAAAAACTAATAACATATTTGAAGATTCACTTCATTTTTTGTTTGCATTTTTGGACCAGATTTTTAGTTCATAATACTATATTCCCATAAGAAAAACGATATGCATTTTCATGTATTTGATGGCTTTTAAAAGAACTGATTAAAATCAAAGACAAAACTTTCAAATTGCTCCTGAAGATTTTACAAGTTTGTAGAACTGACTATCTCCTTGTTCTAACAAATTTTTTGAGCTGTCAAACTCAACAATTGAGCCATTTTCTATCACCATAACTCTGTGAAAAAAAAATATATAAGCAAACATTTAAAAATACAATCATATGAAAGATTCATAAAAATTATTTAAAAAAAAAAACGGGAATTCATTCACCTACAGTTACAATTTTGTGTGTTTTGAACCATTCTTCATACACAATTATATTTATAATTATAGTAAGAAGTATAGTCTGTAGCAAAGATAGTATTGTGTCATTACCTGTCACAGTCCAAAATTGTGTTTATTCTATGAGCTATTGTTATAGTTGTACAATGCTTGAAAACTCTTTGAACTGTATTTAACACCAAATTATCTGTAGTTACATCCACAGATGAAGTTGGCTCATCCATTATTAAAATTTTACTTCTACGAAGGAGAGCTCTTGTTAAACATAACAGCTGTCTCTGACCATTGCTATTATAAAATACAAATGTAAGATTAAGATATAAAGTAACACTAATTCATTATAAAAATGAAACAATTATATATTTTTATGATTTACATAAGTTAATGAAGTTTAATGTTAGCTTAATGAAGTTTTAATTTATACATTTTTAAAGGTAAAAAGAGTTCAGTAACTTCTAATTAAAAAGAAAGAAATGTACCTAAAATTTAAGCCATTCTCTCCAACTTCAGAGTCTAGACCAGCAGGCATGCTTGAAACAGCATCTTTTAAATGGGACATAGTTAAAGCTGTCCAGATTTCTTGATCAAGGTATTCACCATTGGGATCTAAATTCATTCTCAATGTACCAGATAAGATGACAGGATCCTAGAGAAATGTTTTAAAGCAATAAATCTAAATATAGAACCCAAGTTTAATAACAAAAGTATTAACGCAAGTAATTAAATTTAAATTACAAAGTTTTAACCAGTAATAAAAACAAGAACATACATTGCGTTAAATGCAGATTTCACTTTAGATTGTTAAATTAAAATAGATTTTTTTACAAATCATCAAATTTAGTATTTACAAATAAACAAAATATGGTTGCTCGTAGTTATTGCAGATTTTACCTGAGGTAAAATAGTCAGCTTAGATCTCAAATCATAAAGTCCAAGAACTGAAATGTTGATGTTGTCAATGATAATCTCCCCTTGAGTAGCCTCTATGAGTCGAAACAAGGCCAATGTTAATGAAGATTTTCCTGCACCTGTTCTCCCAACTATCCCAATCTGTAATTATAAGCAAATTATATTTTCTAAATATTTTTTAATGTAAGGATTTGAGTTAAATAACATAAATAATACAAAGCAATAAGACATTTAAGAGCTACCTTTTCCCCTTGCCTAATCCAACAGGTAATCTGCTTAAGCACTGGTACTAATCCTTCTCTATAGCTTGTAGAATATTGATTAATGATGATTTCTCCTCTCTCTGGCCAGTCTGGTGGAGGCCGAACATTGGTGTAACGTGGGGCCTGTATAATTAGTTTTTAATTACTATTTATTTTTTAAATAATTAATTGTTATTATTATTACCTATTTTATCAAGAGTTAATGTCATAAATAATATCATTTAGAAAAAAAAGACAATAATAAAACAGAACCATGATAAAATTATTTGAAATCTGACCTCTTGAACAACATTTGAATATTCCTGAACTCTTTCAACACTGACAACATTGGTCTCCAAGTCACTCATAGATCTGACCAACCACTTCAATGATTGGGTTATCTAAACAGTTTATGTTTTGTTATATGTAAGGGGAGAACCGAGAGGTGATCTTATTCACTCATCCGTGCACCTTTGTGTGGTGACAAAGGGGTTTACTAAACCTAAACAAACCAAACTAAACTAGACTAAGTAAACAAAAAATCAAAGTCAAGAGTAACTACGATATACTTTATTTGATCGTTAAATACCCCGCCTAAAAATTTAAAATAAAAGATCCAAACTCAACGAAAACTAAACCCCAGATGTAGCTGTTATAAAACTTAGGAAAACGTAACTATATAAAGACAAGGAAAATATGACTACAAAAATGGCTAAAAAATCGATTAAAAAAACTCCTTTTAAAAAAACAACTACTAAAAAAACAACCGCAAAAAAAACCCAGCCAAAATAGGCCGACTACAAACAACACTGTAACAAACAAAATCATTAGAGCCTATCTACTTCAATATTCAATACATGAATATAGCCTGTACAATACAACCATGGTTTTCTATAAAGCTAAAAGACAACTATCCTAGTTTAAGGTATCAGTCAAAAAAAAAGAAAAAATGTTTCACACTTACATTTCTAGAATTTGACACTCACACAAAATGCTTCAAGATTCCTATTTGAACACAAAACTGGCTTCCGAAATTCTTGAGCACAAATTTAATTTTTGACGTTCTTAACGTGAGTAACTGTTGTTCTATTCTGAGTGAACCCCGTTTGGACCAAGTTCGAGTGCCAATATATAGTCTAGTCGGCCCATCCCTTATCATCTCCCCAGAGCTATAGGGTCGCGAGTTGGGCTCCACACCATCCCTCGGCGTTCGAGATAACACCGGTCACTATGCACCCATGCGTTTCACACCCGATAATTGACCGATATAGATCTTCCCGTTGTCTCGGGGCTAACGATCGTGTCATACACCGCTTGAGCTAACGTACGGCCACACGGCACTCCCGCCGCGTTTCACACCTAACAACTGACCACCACAGGTCCCTACGCTGCTCGCGTCTAACTATCCGGCCCAGGCGATAATAAGTCCCTAAGGTCATCGGAATCGTTTCTGACGTCCACCTGCAGATCATGAGTCATGATCCAACCGTGACGTCCAGCGGCATGCCCGGACTCAACTTTAGACATAAATCACCGCGGGTGTCTCCATCATTCCGTGTCACTCATGCACCTGCATAGAGCTCGTAGCCCTTAACGACCAGGGTGAGCCGATAACATTTTAATCAAATTTTAGATTTCCCTGGCCTGTTCATCCCCAATATCTTAGATTAACCCCTTGGGTTTAACTAGCACCTAGTCACCTTAGCCCCTTTAATAAGCACCCAAGTTACTATTACATTTTGGAATAAACAGTAGTATACCAGCCCACAAACCCAAGTTACTATTACATTTTAGGATTAACAGTAGTATACCAGCCCACATTCTTCCTCCGCAGAACGTTTACGGTCCCCGTAAACAGCTTAGTCATGACAACTAGGCCTCAATTGGATAAACCTTGTACTGAATGCCCTACTATCGCTGACACAGTCAATTCTAAACACGGTAAAGTCCACTAAAGGCAAAAACATCAATGAGCCACTGAAGGTACATCAAAGAGTAACAGTTACCGGGATCAGATATACACACATACTTATCTTTAAAGGGTAGTGAACCAAAATGGACACATCCCGCCCTTACGGCTAAAAATATGTCATCATTAAAGATAAATAATCGTCAGTTCACAACCATAATTTTACACTACATGGTCTGATATTGTATGTTAAATACTAATATCAACCAAGCCCTTCCAGTCATAAAATTATGTTACAGCAGGTTTCATCTAAAACAATGTACAATACAAGAAAATTATTTCTTCTATTTACCCAAGCCTTTACGTTTTTTAAGTCCGAACTGGTACAACTTACTTGTTTAAGGGCTACTACCATCCTATTGAATAAACTCATGGTAACAAGACAAAAACAAAAAAACATAGTAACGAGACAAATTGTACAATTTCACATTCATCATAGTCGGCTAACATTAACAGATTAGAAGCCTAACTTATCTGGAAACTTTCTCGTTCGAGACGATCTCCTTGGGGTCGTGAGAGAAATGTTAGATGGTACTGATACTGGTGTTGGTGGTAACACTGATGGCACTACTTGACGTCTTCGACGGGGAGGGGGTATGGGCACTGCAGGGATCTCTATTTGATAATAACGTTCTTTATGGATATCTTCTGCGTTTTTAACATCCGGCAAGGTTATTTCAGGAAGGGCAGGTACCGGAACCGCTTCAGCTGGAATATACTTTCTGATCTGAATACCTGACACTCTGCGAGTTATCCTTTCATCAAGTGACTGAATGGTGAAATAACCACCACTATCAGGTGGAACTGAGGTCACAGTATAGGGCTCTGGACCAAACTTATCAGCTATTTTGTTTCTCCCTGTCGGGTGTTGCCTTAAGAGAACCAAATCTCCCACGTAAAGCTTCACCGACGGGACGTTAGACAGTTGTCTGTCACGTTGACAGACTTCATGTTGTAATTGACGAGCAGCGTGTTCATGCAGATCGGCGAGTCGTTGAAGATGCTGTTGCAAGTACTCTCCTGCACTGGTTAAGGCGGGCCTCGGAGAGCCCAAGAAGATGTCTAAGGGTAGTCGAGGTTCTATACCAAATAGTAGCTGGAAAGGTGAGTGACCAGTACTGGAATGTGGGGTACTGTTGTATATGAACACCAATTCCGGCAGGTGTTTAGGCCAGTTTCGTTTCTTGTCGTCAGGCAAGGTGCGGAGGAGGTCATGCATGGTGCGATTGAACCTCTCCGCCTGACCATTCCCTCGGGGGTTGTAAGGTGTTGTGCGGGACTTTTCGATGCCATAGTGCCGACACAGCTCCGAGATTACGTCTGCCTCAAAGCACCGCCCTTGGTCTGAGTGCAGACGTCTAGGCACTCCATAGTGCACAATCCAGTTTTCAATTAGGACTCTGGCTACGGTCTTGGCGGTTTGGTCACGCGTCGGTATCGCCATGGTCCATTTAGTAAATATGTCCGTAAGGACCAGGACATCTTCCCTGCCGTCTGACGCTGGTTCCAACGTTGTGAAATCTATAGCCACCACTTCGAGTGGAAGTGTGGCTATCAGATGTCCGGGAGGCTGGTGCACTTTCACTGCCGGTAGTTTAGCATGTTGACACCGGTCGCACTCCATACAGTGCTTACGGACATCATGCTCCATATTTGGCCAATAACAGCGACGCCGCAGAAGTTGAAGACAACGTTCCAGCCCCTGGTGGCCGTTGGACTCGTGTCCCAATCCTAAGGCTTGGCGTCTGTACTTTTCAGGCAGAACCACTTGCATTATTGGGTCGCCCCCGGGTTCGATTATAGACCGGTACAGTACGCCATCCTTCAGGATAAGCCTCTTCTTTTGTCGCATTAGCGCTCGACAAGGCAAGGGTAGGCCGGTAGTTGTGTTTGATGTAGACTCCATCAGAGAGAGTACCGGGCCAATAACAGGATCCATGGCCTGCGCAGCCTGCATCTCGTGATGAGATACCGAAGGAAAAGAGTAGATGGGTGTTGCTGGGATGGAATGGCAGAAGGTTGAGATCTGGTTGTGGGAGACTTCGTGTGGTACATTGGTGGATATTTTAACCGAGTAGACCTCGACATATCGTTCTTCAATATCGTTCTCCTGTGGTACCTCTACAGGGTTACGAGAAAGTGCGTCTGCATTGGCGTTCAGCTTTCCCGATCGGTACTGGATATCAAAGTTGAAAACGTCTAGGTCGGCCACCCAGCGTTGTTCGGTTGTGCTGATTTTTGCAGTTTTAATATAGCTTAGAGGATTATTGTCCGTATACACAATAAACTTTGTCCCTAATAAATAACCCCTAAACTTCTCAGTCACAGCCCACTTTAGGGCTAACAGTTCCAGTTTGGTAGCGCTATAATTCTTCATGTTACGTTCGCCAGGCCTTAGAGACCGACTGGCATAAGCGATGACTTTCAGACCGTCGCTTTGTCTCTGGCTTAACACAGCGCCTAATCCCTGGTAGCTGGCATCTGTTTCTACGATAAAAGGTATAGAAAAATCAGGGTAGCCTAGAACTGGAGAGCTGGTTAAGGCTGACTTCAAGTTGACGAAGGCTTTGTCTTGTTGCTCGCCCCAAAATTCAACAATAGACTGTCGTTTGTTTTTACTTTTTACATTGGCAAGAGTGACGACTTCGTGCAGAGGTTTAGCTATTGTAGCGAAGCCTTTTACAAACCGCCGATAGTATGACGCTAGTCCAAGGAATGATCGAAGTTCATTCAGGGCCGATGGAGTTGGCCAGTTGTTAACAGCCGAAACTTTCGCTGGATCAGTCTGGACACCCTTTTCAGAGACTATGTGCCCCAAGTATTGAACTGAAGCCGCACCAAATACACATTTATCAGGGTTCAGTTTAAGTCCTATCTGTCTTAATCTGCTCAAGACTTTGGCTAATCGTTCTAGATGCGTTTTAAAATCTGGGGAGTACACCAACAAGTCATCTAAATATACGAGCATTATGTCCATGATGAAATCATTCATTACACCTTGCATGAGCCTAGAGAATGTTTGCACGGCTCCACATAATCCAAATGGCATTCTAGTCCAAGAATATAAACCGAATGGTGTGATGAAGGCTGTTTTTTCCTGATCATTTTCATCCATGGCTACCTGATGATAGCCACTGGCTAGGTCTAGAGTTGAAAAATAACGTGAACCTCCTAGCGCATCTAACGTTTCTTCTATTCTGGGTAGGGGAAAAGCATCTTTTCTAGTGACATTGTTAAGCTTCCTATAATCACAGCATAATCTTATTTCACCATTCTTCTTTTTCACCACCACAATGGGAGCTGCGTAGGCACTAGTACTGGGCTTAATTACCCCTTTAGCTGCAAGTTTTTCAATATGTTCTTTGACAGCTCGGAACTCAGCTGGTGGAAGTCGACGATAGGGCTGAGCAACCGGTGTATCATCAATTAGAGGGATCTGGTGTTTAATTAAGTCAGTAAAACCTAAATCATCATCTGACCAAGCAAATACATCTTGAAATTGTCCAAGTAGAGAGTTCATAGCCGCTTGTTCTGCATGGTTCAAGGACGTGGATATCAATGATGTAAATGATACCTTATTCTTCACCTGGTGATTCACACTGCTAATGGTACTGGAGGTCTGAGGTGACGGCCTTACCGTGATTTCAGCCGCTACATGGTTGACTTGGATGTCTACTTCAGACGAAGACGTGAATGGATGGATAGTGCCGATACAGGTTTTAGGATGGATCGTTATGCTCTCGTCCGACAAGTTGACAATGCCGACACGGAATAGACCTCTCTCGGCAAATGTGATCGCTGGAACTAACAGTAAATTTGGGTTGAATGATACTGGCAGGGGTTGTACCATCAGGTCACAAGGTACACTTGGGTCACATCCAGTTGCACTAATCATTTGAATGGACCTGGCTGGGATGATGGAAGTAGAATTTAAAGTTCTTGCTCGCCCATCTTTCACCAGTTCCTTGGCAGGTTGTATAAACGAGGCGAGGCCATTAACATCTTTTAAAATGTTCATGCCTAACAGACACGGGGCAGTGGACTGCGAAGACGCCGAGTCCCTTATCACTAGGAAACCCTTGTCAGGTAAAACTTGTCCATTCAACTCCACCGTGGCCAAAAAATATCCAATATACGGCACACTCAGTCCATTCGCTGCAGTCAACCGGAAACACTTTGATGGAATAATTTGCAGAGGACCCTGAAGGTAATCTAGAAAAAAGCTTTCAGTCACTGTACTGACCTGAGACCCTGTGTCGACTGTTGCCAGAAGAGGTGACTGGTTAATGTTAATTTTTACCGTAGGACAAGCTCCAACCAGTTTCTTCCAGAATGACGAGTCGTCTGACCTCCCCCCAGTAGTTCGACTCTGCACTACTGTGGGAGTCCATTTTTTGGACAGTCCCTGGTAATGTGTGCCGGACTGTTACAGATGTAGCAGTTAAGTGACCTCCGGAAGTTCCGAAATCGTTTAGCAGGAGCTCGGGGTGGTTCCCTGGGCTGTGTAGAAAGTTTTGCTTGTGCTCGTTGCATTTCCTGCAGCTGTGTTGCCAGGTCACTGACCTGTTTAGTCAGAGTAAGGACGAGGCCTTCTAACTCTGTTGTGGCCTGGCTCGATGTGACGGCAGACGATCTGGCCTCAAAGGTCGTTGGCTGCTCGTCACCGCACCACCGGATAGCAGCATTTCTCAGCTCCAGGAATGTGGTACCGGGACTTTTGTACAGCTCTTCTCCCAGGTACCTGCGTAGGATCGGGTCTTGTAGATTCTCAACGAAGTGGTCCCTCAGGATTTGCTCATCCGTAAGGGACACTTTAAGGGCCTCCTGTCTCGCCGTCAGAGATTCAAACGCCTCATGTAGGCGATGTGAGTAAGCCCTCACTGACTCCGCCCTATGTTGGTGAATCTGTTGGAACGCTCCAGTAAGTTGTGACACACTTCTCTGCTCGCCATAGATGGCTCGCAGTACTTTAAAGGTCTCCTCCGGGTTGTCTCTCACAACCTTGGGGTGGCACTTCAGCTCGGCGAGGACGGACTCCCCCAGGTGTGACCACAGGAAGTCCCGTCGCTCCTCATCGGACAGGTCTTTACGCACCTTCCACGCCCGGCTGACATCTCGGATGAAGCGTTCTACTTCATCAGCATGACCATCCCCATGGAATCTTCTGATGGTGACCTCTCTCTGGGGTACTATGATGACGGTGGCGGGGGGCTGTCTATCTTCGCCACTGTCGGCCATACTTAAGCTGGGTTTTTACTTTTCTTTTTTTTTTTCAAACTTACTCTAACTATCCTAACAACCTAGCCTTCTTCTTCTTCTTCTTCGTTCTTAATTTTTTGAATATGGTGGAGGATTAGACAACAAGTCCAACTTCGTGGACAAACCGGACTGTGGTTTCCAGGAGAGACAACTCCAAAATCAAACAGCTACTGCCTTGTAGTTTGTTCTTGGGTGATCAAAGGCTATGGAAGCAAATCCAGAAAGAAAAGCAGGCTGAAGTCGGAGTCAACGGGCCATCTAGTATGGCGCATAACATGCTGGCACGCACTGCTTAATTTTATGATGGAGGAACCTAGCCTAAATCTATACCCCTGGGCAAAAAAATTAGCCTAGTAAAAAAATAAAGTTTGGCTTGTCTAAGCACGGATCCCACTTCTGACACCAAATGTAAGGGGAGAACCGAGAGGTGATCTTATTCACTCATCCGTGCACCTTTGTGTGGTGACAAAGGGGTTTACTAAACCTAAACAAACCAAACTAAACTAGACTAAGTAAACAAAAAATCAAAGTCAAGAGTAACTACGATATACTTTATTTGATCGTTAAATACCCCGCCTAAAAATTTAAAATAAAAGATCCAAACTCAACGAAAACTAAACCCCAGATGTAGCTGTTATAAAACTTAGGAAAACGTAACTATATAAAGACAAGGAAAATATGACTACAAAAATGGCTAAAAAATCGATTAAAAAAACTCCTTTTAAAAAAACAACTACTAAAAAAACAACCGCAAAAAAACCCAGCCAAAATAGGCCGACTACAAACAACACTGTAACAAACAAAATCATTAGAGCCTATCTACTTCAATATTCAATACATGAATATAGCCTGTACAATACAACCATGGTTTTCTATAAAGCTAAAAGACAACTATCCTAGTTTAAGGTATCAGTCAAAAAAAAAGAAAAAATGTTTCACACTTACATTTCTAGAATTTGACACTCACACAAAATGCTTCAAGATTCCTATTTGAACACAAAACTGGCTTCCGAAATTCTTGAGCACAAATTTAATTTTTGACGTTCTTAACGTGAGTAACTGTTGTTCTATTCTGAGTGAACCCCGTTTGGACCAAGTTCGAGTGCCAATATATAGTCTAGTCGGCCCATCCCTTATCATCTCCCCAGAGCTATAGGGTCGCGAGTTGGGCTCCACACCATCCCTCGGCGTTCGAGATAACACCGGTCACTATGCACCCATGCGTTTCACACCCGATAATTGACCGATATAGATCTTCCCGTTGTCTCGGGGCTAACGATCGTGTCATACACCGCTTGAGCTAACGTACGGCCACACGGCACTCCCGCCGCGTTTCACACCTAACAACTGACCACCACAGGTCCCTACGCTGCTCGCGTCTAACTATCCGGCCCAGGCGATAATAAGTCCCTAAGGTCATCGGAATCGTTTCTGACGTCCACCTGCAGATCATGAGTCATGATCCAACCGTGACGTCCAGCGGCATGCCCGGACTCAACTTTAGACATAAATCACCGCGGGTGTCTCCATCATTCCGTGTCACTCATGCACCTGCATAGAGCTCGTAGCCCTTAACGACCAGGGTGAGCCGATAACATTTTAATCAAATTTTAGATTTCCCTGGCCTGTTCATCCCCAATATCTTAGATTAACCCCTTGGGTTTAACTAGCACCTAGTCACCTTAGCCCCTTTAATAAGCACCCAAGTTACTATTACATTTTGGAATAAACAGTAGTATACCAGCCCACAAACCCAAGTTACTATTACATTTTAGGATTAACAGTAGTATACCAGCCCACATATATAAAACAGTGTATACTCAACATATATATATATATATATATATATATATATATATATATATATATATATAAAATTTGCTAATGTTATGGTATAATATTGATACATTTCAATATGTTATTTTAGAGGAAAGAAATTTATTAAAAATATTAACTAAACAGCAAGAGTCCAATTTTTGTAAATTTTAAAAAATAAGAAAGTATTACCTGCAGGGCATAACTAACAGAAAGTCCAAGCAATGTGCCATTAATTCCAGGGGTTAGGAGAGAGAAAACAGCACTAAAAAACACAACAAGGCTGCTAACAGCCTCAATCCACACACCTAACCATCTGTCAACAAATTGTTTAGTTATATTTTAAGTCAATTAATATTTTACTCAAGTTATATTTAAAATTTTCAATGTTTTATTGAATATAAAAGTTTACCTATTGGCTGTAATGCCAGCAAAATAGAAAACAATATTCCGGTCAATGCGCTCAACGCAAGTCTGACTAAATCTACCAATGGCATCAAAAGCTCTGATCACTTGACATCCAGTTAATGTTTCAGAAAAATGAGAGTAAATTGGAGATCTAGTGACAGCTTCCAATCTTTTAAGTTGGCGAGATGTTGGCACAAAAAATCTCTGTTGACAAATTTGACAATAATCAATATTTCTTTCCGTTTGATACAATGATCTAAAAAAAAGAATTTCTAAAAATGTTAAAATACAACAAGCTGACCTGAACAGCAAAATATCCAATGAAGAGTGGTATTATGACACTGATGAATATTGGCGTATTGATGCTTATTACAACAAGTGTGGCCATCACAGAGAACACACACATAATCCACATAAAAATGATCTGTGGCAACTGGTTATCTAATGTTTCCACATCTCGAGAAAACCGGTTAACAATTCTTCCTATTAGGGTAGTGTCAAAAAAGCTCATTGGTGCCTTCATGATTCTATCTAGCATGGAGTCGTGCATTGAAGAAGCAGCTGAAACCATTCTGAGTGCCCCCATGCAAGCATATATAAAAACAAACAGAGCTGAAACAAAGTTGATAAAAAAGTGGTAAATAATAGGTGTAATAATATTTTATGAGTTTGTTTCTTGTTTTTTAAACTCTATAATATTAAATTTGAGATTGTTTTTGTAAAATAAGTTTAACTATAAAAGCTTACCTTGGGCGGCACCAAGGGCTCCATACACTGTTAGGTAATTTTGGTTCTTTAGTTTTAAATCAGATACTGTAATATTTCCTGCCTGAATATCTGGATCACCAGTCCATCTAGACAGCCAAATGTTGGCCAGTACACTGAAAACCTGATTTTCAAAGTTATTTTCAAAATTTAAGTAAGAAAGTAAATTTTAAATATTAACCAAGTTATTTGGCATTGATTTATGATTTCTAAAATTAATATAATATAAATATCTATCATATATGTTATATATAGAAACAAAATACTAAATACCTGGAAAAGGGCGAACATAGAAAAAATAATTATAGTGGAACAATATCCAACATTTTTAAAATAGCTTTGAAATACTCGAAGGTTCACCTGTACAGAAGAATTGGAAAATTAGTTTGAAGTTAATAAGTATATAGGCCTATACAGTCCAATATATTCATTACAAATATTAGGCTATAGAGGCCTACATTGTAAATAAATCACTCAAGATATTTTATGAGTATAAGCATATTCATATTTATTTATTACACATTTAAAATATTTGTTGAAATATCACATTTCATTGATATTAATTTTTAGTTTCAGGATACTTTTTGAAAATGACATCAATGACTGCTTACAGATCCTGTTTCAGTAGATTCATCTTCTGTAAGTCTAAGCACTGTTCCATTTCCAACCCCCCCTCCTGCCACTACAGATGTCAGCTTATAGGGTTCATTCTTATCCTCAGTTGGAGTTGATGGTGATGATCCACTGCCACCAGCCATTGTCTCCAGTCTGATCAGAATTTGTTAATTATCATTAGCATCAATTGTTGATACATTTTTCCTACAATTTATGACTACAAAAATAATGTGAATATTTTTCATTATTCTTAAACTGAGTGATTTATGTAATGCTGTTTAAATTGACCTGCTTTGATGGAAGTTAACCACATCTTCTCCTGATGTGTTGCCTTCTGATTGGCTGGTCACTGATTCAACATGTTCCCATATTTTCTTTTTCATTTCTCTAACTGGATAGATATGTTATCTATTAGATTAGTTGACATTTAAATAATTATATTTTTGGTAAAGTTTTGTTTTAAGTGATAAAAATGTATGGAAATATAAGATAACTAAAATTTTAAAAATATTATTAATTCTATAACTACTTTCAATCCTACCTTCTGTGTCATCTTCTGCTTCTGATTCAGATTCCTTTTGCTTTCTCAAATTAGCCAATAGGAACTGGGCAAAGTTTCCATCTTTCTTCATCAGCTGTAAATATGATCCCATCTCTGTTATACGTCCTTCCTGCATGACGATAATTATATCTACAAGTGGTAGCCAGTGGACAGCATGAGTAGCCATGATGCGAGTCTGAAAATGTACATGTAAAATATTTAGACTATAATATAATAATCAACAGCATAGTTTTGTTTGATAAATTATTTCCCAATTGGCGTGCAATTTTTTTGTTTATCTGTTTTCTAAATCACTTCTTTATATTTTGCTATTTTAAAAATTTCCTATTGATTTAATAACTGACCTTATTTTTTAGCATTCCCTTGTCAGACAAAACACGTTTAAAAATATGTTTCCCAACATGAGAATCCACAGCACTCAAGGGGTCATCTAGTAAGTAGAGGTCAGCATTAGAATAAAGGGCTCTTGCAATGGTAACCCTTTGTTTCTGACCACCACTCAGGTTTATACCCTGAGGACAAAACAGGTTACATAATACAGAAATTCAGAACTTTTGTCCCACATTTATTTATTATCTGTTATCGTTCCTTACCTTTTCACCAATTTCTGTTTTATCTCCCCCTTCTAGAATGTCTAAGTCCTGCTTCAGGGCACAAGCCTCAATGATCTTAGAGTATTTTTTAAAGTTGAAACTTGTGCCAAAGAGGATATTGTCCTGTAGAGAACAATTCTGAATCCAAGCAGTCTGAGGCACATAAGCAAGACTGCCCTGAAAAGTTGTGACATTTAAAGGTAAAATGATAAGGCTGATTATTTTACTCTTAATATGTGCAATTAATTATTCCTGACAAATTAGATTTAGATGCATTTTTATTTTAAAAACTCACAGCTGTTTGAACTTGACCTTGCAGACGATCCATTTCTCCAAGTATTGCAGACAGTAAAGAAGACTTCCCACAACCCACTGGGCCAACAACTGCTACTAATGAGCCTCGTGGAATCTCTAGCTTTATTCTAATGACAGTTATTCAATATTTTAAATATTACTATAGTTTATAAATCAATAAGTAATAATTTATGGAAACAAAAATCATCAAACTATAATTGAATAAAAGCCGAAGTGTTCTCTTATGTTTAAATAATAAAATAACAGTTAAAATATATCAAATTATATCTTGATATAAGCAAACACTTTTCCCCATCGAACTGTAAAACACTCACCCACTCAGTCTGAAAGTAGCATCAGGGTCCCAAGTAAAAAGACCTTTTTCGATGCTCACTGCAGTATCTAGTTTTAAAACATAAAGCGTTAAAAAATGTACAACTATTTGAAACATACAATTTTTTTTCAAGCAAACTGAATTAAATTTGGTTTTATTCTCACAAACATAGAAGGTAGTTCAAAAAGCATATTTATTTTGAAAATATGTTTTGGGATTCAAAGTTTCAGTCCTAATTTAAAAGTAATATTTTAATTGGAACAACATAAACATTGTGTGTGAACAATTTCAAACCTTATCTCACCTATCTACACTACTGACAGTTACCAACCTTTATAATCTTGTAAACTGTTCTGTGCACATTCTTTTTCTGGGGCACATAAATATTTTTCTATCCTGTTCACTGAAGCACTTGCCTTATAAGAAAATGTAATTGGAATTAATCACTTCAAATAAAACCATACTGAAAATTATATAGAAACCATGTTTTTATAAATCTCTCTCTTGCGTGCTCTTTTTCTCTTAAACATGTGAAAAAATATTTTAAAACCTGGGTTGTAAAAGAGACCATCTCTGGAATAAACGCAATAGGGAATTGTAAAATATTGAAGAGCGCCAAAGTCACAAATGCTGTATCAGCTGTTAATGGCAGATCTGGGTAGACCAGGAGATACGTAGTAAAAGATACCAGACACACCTGCAAACATACACATAGGTTAGAAAATATAGTTTCATGAACTAATACTATATACATAATTTGTTTAATGTATCTTATAAAATAAAAAAAAAAACAACTATTATTAACAAATGAATTATCTAGTAAAAGGAAAATATCAAAAAGCTACCAACCAAGTATGGTGCACATGTCCAAATAAAAATGCTAATAGCATTAAGCCAAGCTAATTTTGTCAAAACATTCATCTCTCTCTGTCTTAGCAAAACAATTTTATGTTGAAAAGATTCTTCCCAAGCATATAACTTTAGTACCTAATGTGCAAGTAAAGTATGTTTTTTTAAAAATACAACACAGTTTGGCAATTGGGTGTTGCAGTAATACTTTGCTATATAACATGCTATTTTTCAAAAAATTATATAAATTAATTGGCAAGCGCTAAAAATTATGTTTTAGCTGTCAAAAATTAAAACAAAATATTAAGTATCGATTTTTATGTGTTTTGAATTTTTTAATTCAAGATAAACTATTGAAAATAATTTTTGAAATAATTAATAATATTAATTCATTAATCCATTCCAAGTTTTGGAAAAACTTCCGCCAGGGAGAGATTAAATTTTCCAAACTAAATGAATTTTTGAGATCATGATTACCATTGATAAACAAACATGGCGGCTGCTTGTTTCTTGACTTCGCTTCAACATTTTAAACTCATCATGAACTCCCAATATGCAACAAATATACAAAAGTTCAAGTCTATTGTGTACGTACGGTTGGGAAGTAATGTATTTGCATTCAATTCTGACAGAAAAGTTTTGTGGCGGTAAGTAAATTAATTATTTTTTAAAGTTAATGTAAGACCTAGCAAGCCTACCCCAGGGGACATCACTCCTACTGAACGATTTGGTAAACAGTGAACACTTATCTAGACCGTCAAGTTCGATGACAGAATATTACAAAAATAGATCTAAAATCTAAATCTACCTGATCCTAAATATATAATATCTGAAGGCCTATATCTACTTTATTACTTTATTAACTATACTGATCCCTCTAAATAAAACGTGACAGTACAGTAGTGATTAGATGATTTAGAATCTACTAGATTACTAGAGATTGAATTCTTTTCTAGATCTAGATTTTAGATTCTAGTGTGTGTTTGTAGAGTAGAGAGCTAGTTGTAAGTTATCTAATCTATCTAGATCTAGTTACTCTAGTCTAGTACTACCTATCCCAGTCTGCCCCGTCTAGTGGCGTCTAAGCTAAGGCAAGGCCTAAAAGGTGTGTAGAGTTGTAAATGTAGACTGTAGAGTTCACTAGTGTAATAGACAGTGACTGTAGCATTGCTAGTGTGAGTTGTAGTAACAATCTAATCTACACAGTAATTTAGAAATTGTGTCTAGGACTTAGTGTCAGTAAATATTGTAACATACACTTATTACTCTAGCCCACAATCTAGATCTAGTATGCAATGTAGCAAAATGTATCTATATCCACTTATTTAGTAGGCCTTGTACCCTGGTTATTAGATCTAGAGTTTAGATTTAGTAATAGAATCTAGGCTTAATGCTCAATATATATTGACCTAAAGTAGTTATAGATTTAATGGCTAGTTTTAGTTTCAATTTTATTTAAAATTTTGATTATGTATAAAAATGTAAACTATAATTATAAGAGAAAATTCTGAGTAGAAATATTGTGTGTACATCTGTTTTTCAGATTAGGCCTACCTGAATTAAATCAGTGCATATAGACCTCTAGAAAGAAGCCTACACAATTTCCAGGAAACCTCAACCAAGACTATCAACAAAACATGAAATCAAAATGTGTGTTATAATGAAGATTTCATCTAAGACTGCAATTTATGAAGAACAATATTTGATGCAAGAAAAAAAAAATCCCCTGCAATTACTGGAAAGTAATAAATCAAATACCTTTACCTTTAAATATTAAATAAATGATAAATTTATCTAAATATTGAATTTTTCTCATTCATTTTATGTTGAATTTCTTTTTTTTTATTGTATTTGTAATGTTAGTTTATGAAAATATTGTAAACAATAGTGAGAGTTGTATGGTAGTAAAGCTCCAGTCTCAAACCTGTTGATCCATGGATCTGACAACATAGAGTTCACCTACTTTTGTGACCTTGGCATAGGAAGGGATGATTTGGTCAGCCATATGCCCATCCACATTTACTTTCACTAACGTGAGTTAGGTACCCATCACTGCTGGGTGCACTCAGGGACTTTCTACTAACTACTGGGTTAGCAGTCTAATGCCAGTGTGAGTTGCTTAAAACAAAATTTGCAAGTAAAATACTATTTAGTTTCCTAAACAGTTTTAAAAATATTTGAACCCACACAAACACAAAGAACTGATATTAAAACAACACATTCAATAAAAAAATAATTAAGTTTAATAATTTATAAAAGGACATATTTAGGATGTACATGTAATATTGTTTAATATGAACAATGAAACCAGTTGCTCATATCATATTTCTACTCATAATTAAAGTTAAAGCAATATTTGTGAACAGAAATATATATTTACAATGACATTTGAAAATGGGATTTATTGGTCAAGCAGTAGAGCACACAATTGCTAATCCAGAGAAGTGGTTTGAGGGCTTGAGTACATTAAGGGTAACTGGCTTGAGACACTGACTTTAAGTGTAAACCACACAACTGTTTTATTAGCCTAAGTCAAAAAAACAAGACATTATTTTTTATTATTACAAGTGGAACATGCTTCATCTGTGGAATAATATTTTCATTAACAGTAAAAATAAATATTAAATAGTGTACACAGACACGAAAAATACATGCTTACTGTAAAGCAAAAGAAATTATTCTAAAACAATGTAATATACATTAGTAGTCATTAGGCCTATTTAGTCATATCTGTTTATTCTGAGTGATATAGTCAGAAAACTGTAATTATAGCATATTTAATTTCTACTAAGTATGCCTTGTACAACAGTATGAATATCTAGAATCTAGCTATATAGATTAATTAAAGTTGCTGATTTTTTTTTTTAAATCTTGGAATTAAATTTTCAATGTTAAATTAAAAGCTCAATGACAGTAGCACAAAGCCAAACAAAGCTTATTACAATTAAACTAATTAGACCCTAATAATAGTAATTATTAGATTAATCCAATTTTAGGCCCACTTTGGGCTTAAATCAAATTTGGAATTTCTAGAGCTACTACTAGATATAGAATTTTATCTAGTAATACTGGTACACTATAACTTGTCTATACTAAGCAGACGACTAATTAGTAATTACGGTTATTAGGTCTAGCCTACTGTCACCGTGTAATATCTAGTTTATCTACTTCTAGATCTAGATCTAGTACTAAAAGAAAAAGTACTAGAGTACTAGGAAAAGGAATTATTTTTAAAAATATGGCATTGATTTAAAATAGGGGCCTATTTATTAAAATGAATAAAGGCAAAGTCTTTATTACTAAATAGGCCTAATTTAAATTAGGGGCCTATAGGCCTAATTAACTATAATAATATGATTAATACATAGGGTCAAATTACTAATTTAAATTTAATCAGGCCTAAACTTTCTAAGCAAAATAAAGTCTAAAGAAAAATTTATGGGCCTAAATTCAAAAGTTAAGTCTAAAGGCCAAAGGTTTCTATTTTACAAAATGATCGTAAATCTAACTAATTATTCTATTATTACTAAATCTAGCTTAAATACTAGCTATTAAGTACTAAACTAATATAAATACTAACACCTAATAATAATATTAATAAAAGTATTCATATAGTTCACTATAAAAGAAAATACTCTATAGTCTATATAATATTATTTAATTATAGATCTAGGTCTAACTAAAATAAGGCAGAGATCTAGATCTAAATAAAATACTTAGGACTTAGGCCCTAGATCTAGCAAATAAATAATAATACTATTTGACTATTTGACGATTTGTTAGGCCTATATCAGACTATGACTATAACTAGATCTAGATTCTATATCTTATTAATATCTATCTACAGTTTATAACTTAGACTTAGTGTGTTAGTCACTGTTAGTGTATACTGTACTTAGTGTACTATTAATATTAATTATTAGTACTAGACTAGATCTAAGTACT